GAATGCTCGCTACTGCAGGTGCTTTATTTCTCCAACAAAAATTCACTGGGAAGATAATTTTCCTTTTGCATTATGCTCACAACAGCAATGTTTGATTAAATTACATCTACTAAAGAGGGAACTGTTTCCAACATTAACGGTCTAAGAGCAAAACAAAATTCTGCTGTGTCTAGAGGAAGATCCCGGATAAAGTTTCCCAGTAGGAATGAACCTGTCAATATCAGTAGCCCTAGGCAGAGGGAGTGTATAGGCTAGTAGAATGCACAGTGTGTAATGGACGTGAGAGAGCTCTCTTCTTCCTCCTCCCTCTCACCATCTGTCGATCTCTCTATCTGAAAGGCAAGCACTGTACCCAGAGAGGAGGAAGATGGGGGAAGTGTCTGCTCTGGAATCCTGGGGGGTCTGAGGAGCCTTAGGAACAGATATCAATGGGTGGGGATGTGGTTCAGCCAAGTTGTGTGTATTATGCAGGCTTTCAGAGGGACAGAATCTGATCTCAGTTACACCAATATAAATCTGGAGTAACTCCATGGACGTGAGTGGAATTACTTTGCATTTACACCAGTATAACTAGGAGAGGAACTTGGGCCATGAACTGTAACTGTTGGTCACTGTTGTTGAAACCCACTATCCATAGTCTCCAGTTAGGATGGCGTTTCCCCTCCCTGGCACCCCGCATCCTCAAGCTACTCAGCATGTATAGGAAGTGGCAGAGTTTTAGAGACTTTCTTTCGCGCTCCTGGAGCTCAAGCCCATCTGTGTTTTGAAGTGAGGATCTGCAGGCAGCTCATCCGTATCATGCACTGGCTCGTCCAACCCTATTCTTGCAACGTGTGCACATCCGAATGGCTGTCAGCTTCTAACTGAAGAGGAGTTTGTGGTTAATGAGCCTGTTCGTTGTTGTCGAGTCCAGTTGGTGACCCACATTCTGCCACAGGTCGGCCAGTTGCGTTGCTGCAGCTGGTGAGGTCAGCGCACCAGATGTGGCTGTTTGTTTCAGATGGAGCTGGCACTTTGAGAAGGACCATCAGTGTAACTGTGAGACAAACAGCCAACAGCCGTGATGGTGTGAAGCTGCCATCTGGCGGCTTTGGGGTCTCCTTGTCGCCTCTGTCAACATTGCCCAGCTGTACGCTCTTTGGGAATATATTTCAAATGTTGCTTTTGCCCAGCTTGTATCAGCCCTTCTCCCGCATCCTCCCAACTCAGCCACTTCTCCATAACCTATGATGACCTGTTGGTCCGTAGATCAGACATAAGCTACTGCTGATATTAGGATTTACTGTAATGGCTCAGAAGCATCTGCAGGATGGGCACAGCACGCCAGCGTCGGACACGAGCTGCCATGCTAGCATTTCCTAGCTTCCACTAGGCGTATTTACATCGCACAGCTTACAAGTACACAACTGTCACTGGAGTCGCCATACAAAACGGGCCTACCTCTCCGCATGCCTATTGCCATAGTGGGCTAATTAATTCCTGGTACAATTCTAGCGATGTCAGCGGAGTAACTCCAAGGAGGCATCTGGCCCAGTATGAGTTCAGAAAAGGCTTGAAATGCCGAGATCCATCAGTGGTGCGAGTCCCTTCCCCCTCATCATTATGAAAAAAGAGGAAACTGAGCTGAAAAACCCTGAATAGACATACTGACTGCAGCATACAAGCAAGAAAATGCAAAGTTTAGGCTGAAACTCCATTCCCTGCTGCAATTCACCGTGACAAAGTTCCTCCTCTACCTTGGTGGGTCTTGCGCTTACTGGCGGATTTGCTCGCCTTGGAGCTTCACGGTAGCCCTCAGTTTGGCTGTTTTCGTGAACCCACAGTCCAGGTCGACTCCTCCTGTGTCTGACCAGGAGTTGGGAGGATTTGGGGGGAACCCGGGCCCGCCCTCTACTCCGGGTTCCAGCCCAGGGCCCTGTGGAACGCAGCTGTCTAGAGTGCCTCCTGGAACAGCTGTGCGACAGCTACGACTCCCTGGGCTACTTCCCCATGGCCTCCTCCCAACCCCTTCTTTATCCTCACCATAGGACCTTCCTCCTGGTGTCTGATAATGCTTGTACACCTCAGTCCTCCAACAGTCTGCGTTCTCACTCTCAGCTCCTAGCACCTCTTGTTCCCAGCTCCTTACACGCGCACCACAAACGGAAGTAAGCTCCTTTTTAAAACCCAGGTGCCCTGATTAGCCTGCCTTAATTGATTCTAACAGCTTCTTGATTGGCTGCAGGTGTTCTAATCAGCCTGTCTTAATTGTCTCCAGAAGGTTCCTGTTTGTTCTGGAACCTTCCCTGTTACCTTACCCAGGGAAAAGGGACCTACTTAACCTGGGGCTAATATATCTGCCTTCTATTACTCTCCTTTAGCCATCTGGCCTGACCCTGTCACATCAGTTACTGGATATTTTCTCTTCCTTAAGTATTTTCCCCACAATTAAACCCCATCATCTCTCCCCCTCCCCATTGTCTCCCCAAAGCAAAACACAAGCACTGTTATAGGTGAGCTTCTGAATCCACCAGTATTTCAATGGGTTTAAAATCAGGCAAGAATTCACCCATCGCCTTCCATGAAGGCTCCTATTACACAGCACGGAAGCACTGAGTGGGAGGGTGTTCAGAAAGTTTCTTCTAATAGTCTGTGCAATACAGCTACTGACTCAGACACTGATCATGTGACACACATACTGTACAGTGGTCAAGATCATGAGTTCCTTCTGCCGCATCACACGCATGGAAAAGACATCATTTGCACAGCCAGCTTCCACAAATGAAAGACAAGTTGTTCCTCCCAAGCGAACACGCATTCGGCAACAAATCCCTTCTCAGGCACAGCATTGAACAGTGTCTTAGAAAACCCATTTTCTTAGGAAACTGGCAACTCGTGTTTTAGGACCCAAGCTGCAAGGTGCTGAGCACCCTTAACGCCTTTAAAAGTTAGAATTAAGAATGAGTTAAGGAGGGTTAAGCATGTGCTGATCCCCACAGAATTGGGGACCTTAATGCTCATCTGCTGCAATCTACTTTACCATGATGTTAAATTTCAGGGATAGTGAGATGTTGTTTTTAAAAGCACTGTAAGTGTGGAAATCCTCATACCGCAGGCCCAGAACTTGTACAGTATAGAATTCATAATGGTGGGGAAGTGGCGAAGGCTAGAGTGAATTACGATGTTCCAGGCCCAGCAAGGAGGCAGTATCCTGCATGGTGTCCCGCAGCACGGGCTCAGCATCGTATATCCTTACCTTGATTTTTTGCTTGGCTTAGGAGAGCAGTAAGTTTGTTATTTGTGGTTTAAAATTTCTGGTTCGGTGAGTCATTAATTTTTCCCTTCTCCCCATTTTCAAGTCACTTGATGCTAGACGGGTTGGAATGGGTTAAGGTTTAATTGCAGGAGAGCTGCAGCTCTTGCCTAAATTCTTGCCCACAAAAATAGCTTTTCTTCAAAAGCAATCTAAAGTAATGCTGGAAGGAGCATAAGAGTGTTACTAAGCGAGGACTTCACATTCGTAAAGAAATATGCAGCTGGTTTGAATATTTGCAGTCAGTGTCATTGTCACTTGTTGGAATGAGACAATTTCAACTGGAGAAGGAGCCCAACAATAATTCACTAGGTACAATGCTTAAAATTCTCCCCAGTAGGGATACCCAGTTAAGGAAATTAACAGGTGCTTGCTATAAATGAGCATGGAATTTGCAACTCAGAAAAAGGAGAAGAAAGCCAGAGATCAATTTACACAGTGGTATAGGGAGCCCCAGACAGCGTCTGGTGGGTTACAGGAAGGGTGTATTTCACATGGGTGACAGCAGCAGAAAGTGCGTGTAGTTCACCAGGGTAATGTCATCTGCTTCAGCGACCTCCCCTCTCCCGCCGTCTCCCCAGCACGGACAGAACCCCAGAACCATTTATCTGAATCTCTTACACAGGGAGAACTTAGAGAAATGGGACCCAGAGCTGAATCAGCCCAGTTGTTCACGAAAATCGGTGTCAAGGAGGTGGGGGGAAGTCATGGCTTTGATCTGGCAAAGCTCTAGTTCAAAGGCAGCTTTACCAGGGATCAGCCAGTGCCACTTTTTTGTAGGAAAGAAATATTCTGGTTGTTTTGCCTTTTCCCTACCCCCTCAGAAATTTCTTTGTGGCAACCATCCCTGGAACCCGTCAGCCTTAGACAGCAGTGGTCACAGTCAGCATGGAAAGAACCCCACATACATTTTCACCTGAAAATTTTGCCCTTATGATTGGGACACAGAACCCCTCTTGGTAACGGACAGACTAGAGAGGTTCTCTCCCTCCCGCCCCCCCCCAGTCGATAGTCAGTGGCATGTTCTGGCTCATGGACTGGCATTAGAGGTGGCTGGACATTAGCAGGAGCTGGCTACTCCAACATCTTTCCTGTGAGGGCTTCCAATGAAACGCAGACCTTGACTTTGGTCACACCTGTGGCCTTATGTGAATTAGAGAAGGAAGGTTCACCAATTACTTAATCCCGAGGCAGAAATAAAATTACTGGCAGCATTTCAGCTGCAAGCGAAGCACCATTGAAAGCAGCCGCCGCAGGGCTCATTTCCTGGTGGGAGAGGGAGGTTTACTGACACTGATAGAGGGAAGGGAGTGAAAAGAGGGACGTGCAAATGGCAGGAAGAATAAATAAATACTTTAGATGCACCACAATCGCCTCTTTCATCATCGATCTCAGAGCCTTTTGCAAGCCTTAAAGGAATCATCTGGCAGAGCCAAGAATGTGAGCCAGGAGCCCTGATTGGTGCTCAGATACCATGGGGCGAACACAGTATAAATCCCTAGATTAGGCTCTGTCTACACTAGCACTTTTGTCGGTAAAACTTTTGCCAATCAGGGATGTGGAAAAAACCACGCTCCTGACCGACGTAAATTTCACCAACAAAAGCGGACAGCACTATGTCAGCAGGAGAGCTGCTCCCACCAACAGAGCTACCGCCCCTCGTTGAAGGTGTTTTAATTAGTTCTCTCCTGCCGGCATAGAGCGGCTACACAGGAGCCCTTACAGCGGCGCAGCTGTGCCACTGTACGGTCCGGAGTGTAGACATAACCTACACAGGGTCAAACGGAGCTTGGAGTCAGTGTGTGCAACTTCCCTTGTGATGCAGACTTCATGTTGGGCGTAATTTGGCCAGAAAACTGATGCACAGTCCGGGAAGTTATACTGATTTGGTGTTCGGTGATTGTGCAAAGCGAGTGAGATGTGCACACCATGCAGTGCAGAAAGGAGGTTAAGGAACAAGAAAAGCAACTACCCAGAGCGGGTAAGAAAACAGCTATTTTACACCTGTGCCCATTTTACAGCCTCCTACACGGCCTCATGAAAATTAATCTGGAATAAGATAGGGTGTGAATTTAAAACAGATCAACTATTCCTGATTAACTCCTTGTGTGGATACTCTTCTTCTGGACTAAGAGCGTCCACACAGGGCGTTAATCAGGAATAACTTCCTGTGCTGACATGCCCTTAGTTGCCCTTCTATTACGCTGACTGTTTGTATGTAAATTACACCAATTCCGTGCACTGCCTGAATGGCAGATTTATGCAATTTTGACAAATTCACCATCTACACCCATCTGCTGATGAGCTCGCATCAGCCATAGGAGTTCAGACCCCTGCTGAATTCAGCCCCTGGTGCCCCTTTTTCACCAGGGCAAGGACAAGGTGTTTACCTTGTAGCAGAATCCATGGATTAGAGGAAATCAAACAAACCACAGCCATGAGCCAACTTACTCAGTGGGATCCTGGGGTTCCCATAACCCCTGCGGAACGAGGGGGCCAGAGCCCAGGTTCCTACCGTCCATAGACAATCCCCCGTCCCTTTAATTCACATCTCTGGCCCCCTCCCCTGCAGTGGTGCGGCGGTAGTTAAAGGTCAATACGCATCTATATTGTGCACCAGACACCCCTGGATGGAAAGGGTTTCTATAGGGGAAGGTTGAGGGGAACCAGAGACCAGGGAAGGAAGAGATGGGGGTGGGAGGGGGGGGCAGGATCAAGACAGGACCCAACAATGCTTCTGCCAGGAGTATCCAGCTCTGCCAGCAGCAGGTGCGAGGCAGCGTCACTTACCCGGCCGGCCCAGCAGGGCGAGGAGCAGCAGGCAGGGCAGCCAGCAGGCAGGGCAGCAGGAACGGCTGGCGACAGGCTCCATCGCGGGCGCCTGGCAGGGACAGAAAGGAGAAGAGCTGCGAGAAGAGCAGGGTCCGGGGCAGGGCAGCGGCAGAAGGAAATTACTGGCGCCCCAGCCCGAAGGGAGGAGGAGGAAGAAGAGGAATCGGACCGATCCCGATCCTGCCCCGGGGAGCTGCCACCCACCGGCGGCGGCCGCTTGGTGCTGCCCAGGCGGGATCCAAAATCCCCGGCGCGGTGACCCCTGCGAACCAGCCGCCTTCTTCAATCACATGCCGCCCCGCGGCGAGGAGCGGAAAGGAGCCCGGGGTGCACCTGGCCGGCCGGCCGCAGGGGGAGCGCTCCGCCCCCGGTCGCTGCAGCGGGCAGCCGCGCGCCCTCTGCGTCCCCGGGAGAGGCAGCGCGCGGACCCGGCCGCCCGGCTCCCGCTCCAGTTCTCCGCGGCGGCGGCTGCTGGCGCTCGGCCCCCCCGCCCGTTGCCTAGCAGTCAGCACTTGAGGAGACTCTGCTTCCACAATGTGCCAGTGCAGAGAGCCCCCCCGCAGCTTTCAGGCCAGCCCCGATTTAAGGTAGCTTGCCCGGGCGGTGCAGCGGAACCAGCCCCACAAGGGGCCCTGCCTGGCCCCGCACAAACTTGTTTTTCTAAGGTCATTCCTGCCTGCTTGAATCAACCATACGCTGCTGGCTTAAGGTGGGCTGGGCGAGTTCCCTGCCCTCCCCCCTGGGCTCCCGGCCTCCCCAGCTCACTTCGGCTGCTGCTGGGGCGGTCCCTGCGTCGCTCATTGCCTTCGCCAATCGCTTCCCCAGCCAGGGGTGGGAGTGGAGCCAGGAGCCCGCCTTGGTCTGCACCAATCCTCTCCCAGGTGCTCCCCATGGAGCCCAGGGAAAGGCTGAGGAAGAACTGGAGGGCAGGGAAAGCAGGAAGCAGAGGGGTTGAGAGGACGGCTGCCTAGTAGTTTGAGCACTAGTCTATGACTTGGAAGACAGGGGTTCGAGTCGCTGTTCTACCACAGCCTTCCTATGTGACCAAGGGCAAGTCCCTTGTGCCTCAGTTCCCCTTCTGTGCAATCACAGAATCATAGAACTGGAAAGGACCTCCAGGTCATCTAGTCCAGTCCCCTGCACTGAAGGCAGGGCTAATTATTATCTAGACCATCCCTGACAGGTGTTTGTCCAACCTGTTCTTAAAAATCCTCAATGATGGAGATTCCACAACCTCCCTAGGCGATTTATTCCAGTGCTTAACCACCCTGATAGTTAGGAAGTTTTTCGTAACATCCAACCTAAACCGCCCTTGCTGCAATTTAAGCCCATTGCTTCTTGTCCTATCCTCAGAGGTTAAGAAGAACAATTCTTCTCCCTTCTCCTTGTGACAACCTTTTATGTACTTGAAAACTGTTATCATGTCCCCTCTCAGTCTTCTCTTCTCCAGACTAAACAAACCCAGTTTTTTTCAATCTTCCCTTATAGGTCATGTTTTCTAGACCTTGAATCATTTTTGTTGCTCTTCTCTGGACTTTCTCCAAATCTTTCCTGAAATGTGGCACCCAGAACTCGACACAATACTCCAGTTGAGGCCTAATCAGTGCGGAGTAGAGTGGAAGAATTACTTCTCGTGTCTTGCTTACCCACTGCTGCTAATACATCCCAGAATCATGTTTGGTTTTTTTATAACAGTGTTACGCTGTTGACTCATATTTAGCTTGTGATCCACTATGACCCCGCGATCCCTTTCCGCAGTACTCCTTCCTAGGCAGTCATTTCCCATTTTGTATGTGTGCAACTGATTATTCCTTCCTAAGTGGAGTGCATGTATCCTTATTGAATTTCATTCTGTTTACTTCAGACCATTTCTCCAGTTTGTCCAGATCATTTTGAATTTTAATCCTATCCTCCAAAGCACTTGCAACCCTTCCCACCTTGGTATCATCCACAAACTTTATAAGTGTACTCTCTATGCCATTATCTAAATCATTGATGAAGATATTGAACAGAACTGGACCCAGAACCGATCCCTGCGGGACCCCAGTCATTATATCCTTCCAGCATGACTGTGAACCACCGATAACTGCTCTCTGGGAACAATTTTCCAACCAGTTTTGCACCCACCTTATAGTAGCTCCATCTAGGTTGTATTTCCCTAGTTTGTTTATGAGAAGGTCATTCGAGACAGTAGCAAAAGCCTTACTAAAGTCAAGATATACCACGTCTACGGCTTCCCCCCTATCCACAAGGCTTGTTACCCTGTCAAAGAAAACTATCAGGTTGGTTTGACAAGTCCAGGCTGACTGTTATTTATCATATTATCTTCTAGGTGTTTGCAAATTGATTGCTTACTTATTTGCTCCATTGGGGGTGACAGCCCCACCCTGCCCCGCAGGAGGGCGGTGAGGCAAAACACATTCCCAACTGTGAGGGGCTCAGAGACATTGGTAATGGGGGTAGGGTGACCAGATGTCCCGATTTTATAGGGACAGTCCTGATATTTGGGGCTTTTTCTTATATAGGCGCCTATTACCTCCCACCCCCATCCCGATTTTTCACTCCTTCTATCTGGTCTCCCTAAAGGGAAGCTCTGTGGGGCAGGGACTGTCTTGTTCCATGTCTGTACAGCACCAAGCGCAATGGGGTCCTGGCCCAGGACTGGGGCTCGCAGGTGCTACCGTAATACACATTAATAATAGTAAGCACCTTAGATGGAAGGGTAGGAAGATGTGGGGGCTGGGAACAAACAGGGGAGAGAGGGGGAGAATAGAACTAGGGGAAGGGAGGAGTCTCTCTGCAACCTACTGGAGAGAGCCCCTGGGAACCCCTTGTTAAATTCTGATAGCTAACTGAAGGGAGGGGAGAGGTGGCATCCCTGCCCCGACAGCACTGACCCCACTCTCATGCACAACCATCCATGCCAGACAAAACCCCTACTCCCCTGGCCCCCCCCCCCCAAAAACCTGGTGTCCATCTCCCCTCCAAACATGCCCCAGCCACGGTACCCACTGCCCGGCCCTCCAACTCCTCAGGAGCTAACAGGAATCCTTCCAGCAAGTGCACTTAATAGGAGTTTGGTTGCCAAGTGGTACCGACTCCCTCCCTGGTATGGCGATGAGGAGAGCTTTGTTCGAGAGGGGAAATGGATGAATGGATTCCCCAGCCGAGCGCCCTGCGCGACGTGCCGTTTGTCACAGGCTGACAAGGAATGCTTTCCATCAATGGAACAAAAGCCCAGGGTGGCGAGGGAGGAAAGAGGGGAAGTGGGAGGATGAGAAGATGGAGGTGATGGGAGGGTGAAAAGTGGAGGAAGAGCAGGGCAGAGAAAGAGAATGAAGGGAGAAGGCAGAGTTTGGTTTGCCCTTCTCACGCTGCAGCGTATTCACGGGTACGTCTACACTGCGATAAAAACCCCGTGGTGCCAAGTTGCAGCGCCCAGGTCAGCTGACTCTGGCTCATGGGGCTTGGGGCTAAGCATAGCAGTGTAGGTGCATGGGCTGGTGCCTGGCTCTGAGACCCACCCACTTTGCGGCGTGTCCGAATGTCCACACTGCAATTTTATAGCCCAGCCCCCAAGTCAGCTGACCCAGGCCAGTCGCAGCCATGCCACAGGTGTTTGATTGCAGCGGAGCCATATCCCAAGTGATGTGCGTGTTCCTGCAAGACACCAGACCCACTACGCCGGGGACTGCAGGCATGGCATTGCCACCCTACTGCGCTTCTCCTCACACATGGAGAGACCCTCTGTAGGACACACAGGCAAGCACAGTCTCCACTACTCATTCAGACCTTGGTTTTTCTCTTGGCACCTGTGAACAAGGGGCCAGTTGTGGCCTGGGCACTTCTATCTGGAAATGAAGTTGGTCAACTCATTTAACAATGGTCAGCTGGTAACAATTTTCATTCGCTACCAACTTGGGTCAGAACAGGTGGAATGACCTACTGTGTAAGGCTGTGGCTGCCCATCAGGCCCTGAAGGATTTCACCACTGTCCCTGAGCCTACCCTACGAGCAATATGAATGCACAGCACAAAGGTCTTAGGGAATCAAAGCAGCCTTTACAGAGTGGGCTGGGGAGTGGCAGATATTTGGGGGAGTCTTTACTGCTGTTTTAGCTTCTTATCAGAAAGAAAAATCCTTGACTGG